AGCTAGCAGCCTTGAGACAGAGCACGGAGCTCTGCAAAGGGGAATTCCAATCCCCTGAGGAAGGGACTTTCACGAAGATGCCCCTGCATTTCGTGATATACCTGTGGTGACACGAGTCTGGTCCCTGCTGGCAGCCCACAGGTGAAGCCTTCGTTGGACCGAAGGAGAGCCGAGGGGCTTGGAGACCCCCTTGTGTGTATTGAACAGAGATCCAGCTACAACAATCCAGTTACTGCTGCATGCATGAGATGAGGAGACCTGCTGCCCTAGAAGAGATTCCTGCTTTGGGACTGGAAGGGATCTGTCCTTCTTTCCCTCCTGGACTTTTATTTGGAGGGGAGAAGAGATCTGATCCACTGTAAATACTATATGTCATGGCAGAGATAGTTGTGATCGTTTTTGTCTCACAAAAGAGGTGAGATTAGTACACACAGGTGGAAAATCACAACTTTTACCATAGCTAATGTGTGGTAAATCACCGTGCAGCTAAGCTGGTGTGTGGTAAATTACCGTGTGGCTGTCAGATGGTTGTGCATTTGTGCCCTGGAGTTTAGAGCCTCCAGCAGAATTAGAAATGCTGCTCCAATAATTTGAGGCATCTCCAAGTCCTTTATTGGTCAGGCTGCCAAGATATATTTAGCAGTTCAGCAAAGGAAAAAAAAGCCAAACAGAAACCATATTCTGTGTAAGGTCGTGGGGCTGTACGGCTGCCCTCAAAGGGCCACATTCCTGCAGGCTGTGTTGGGATAAGAACTTAATGCTCCTGCAATCTAGTAATGTGTTTCCATCTGTGAACAGGGCAAGGGAATGATTGTAATAGTGGGAGGAGATTGAAAGAGAAATGATCTTGTTTCAGGAGAGCTGCATTTCACAGATTATGAGCAGGTGATTTGTTATTTTTTGGGTTAATTTCCAGAACAACGCAGGCAAGAGGTGGTGATCTTCAGGAAACAAAAGACGGTAACAACATATTCTGCCTGGGCTCTCTCTCTGCCCAGGCAAGGTTGGCTGTGCTTTTGTTGATCCCCCGCAAAGAGCTCTGCTCTTCTAGCTGGGAGGAGGAGACCTAGACCCCAGCTGAAATACCTCGGAATTGGGCACCTCCCAGCTTGGTAAGAAAGAAAGGGTGAGAGGTGGAAGAAGTCAGCAGGCCCCTTGAGAGGAAGGAGTAAGAGTAGCCTCACTGGGACACTCGTGTTCTTCACTCCCAACAGAAACCAGCAGCCCAGCTCACCCAGTGCAGGGCAGAGGGATGACTGACAGTGCCAATGCACTGACATGCAGATGTGGTTACCAGTGTGCCAGGGATGGCAGGACATGGAAGCAGTTAGCTTGTTTTATCTTCCTTGCACTGTATCCAGCAGAATAAAATGATTTGGCTCCATGAATGGTGATATCCAATGGTGACTTGCTTAAGTACTGGTTATTTACAGTGCATGATCAAAACACAGTTTATAGCTAAAGATAAAACTTTTTACCAGTTTGGGCTGGAGAAAAAAAATGAGCAAGCTTTTTAGGTCTTTGGACATAGAATCACTTCTCGAAGCTCATTTGTTTTCCCAAATGTATTTGATAGTCTAATAAAACACACCACCTCTGTCTATAAAACCTGTGTTTTCTGTGTCTTTGGGCCACTGTGATTACCCAGCACTATACTAAAATTTCTAATAATTGTGACTTTTGCTTGCAGAAATCAACAACCCAACTGAACTGTTGTCTGACCAAGTGACAGAGGACGCAATTACTGTTTCCGGGAACAAAGTCCAGGCTTCAATAGACAGATACAGACTGAGCTACACCTCAGCTAATGGGGACACAGAGGAGAGAGAGGTGGAGAAAGATAAGAACGTCACTCCCTTGGCAGGACTGGAGCCAGGCACAGAGTACATCATTTACATCTGGGCAGAGCAAGAGAGTCAGCACTGAGGCTGTGACAGGTAAGTGGACAGTAGGTTTTGTTGAGTGTGAGATCAGAGATCAGGCACCGTTAGGCTTAGTCCATCCTGGACGCGTAGTTCACCACCACACTGTGATCTCCTCTCTGCTTTTTCATGACCTCTGAGCTTTGATCTTCTCTCTCCCAAAACAGGGAGCTCAAGCATATCTGTGAAAGGGCTTCCAGGTCTCTTCAAACATCTATATTATCTCTACACAGCAATTCTACTTCTCAAAACAGAAGATAAACAGCATCAGGCATAATATATGGGGTTTCCCAAACTACTACTCTGCAGGCCTCGGCATTCCCAGCTGCAAGGTCACTTGAGTGAATGTACCATCTTGCTCACTGTTCTTCTGCTTTTAACTCGTCCCTCCCAACAGAAGGACCCTGCTCTCTAGGTATTTTGTTTCATGAGCTCTCTTTGCATTGCTGGGTATTGAAGATGCACGGTTGTAACCCTACTTAAATTATTATGTAATAATTTAAATACCTGCCTATAGGCTCCCATAACAGACACTAATGCTATAGGTGATTCTAGAAGAGGCAGATGTAATACAAGAGTGATGACAGCTGATAGTCCTTATTTCACTAGTCCTTCATCAAAAGCATGCGGTGCTTCATGTGCTGCTACCAAGCCCAACAATAACAGAAGTTTAACAACCAAAGTGAAACCATTTCAGAATCAGAGACAGTTAAAAATAATGGCCTGCCCTTTGATTTGTGTGATAAACTGAGAGAATGATTCGAGCTAATTAAGAGAAAACAGTGTAAGGTCAATATGACCTGGAGAGAGAAAAGAAAAACAAATTGTAAAACTTAATTGGGCCCCTATGAAAAGAAAAAAGACAAGTTACCTCCCTTTTACCTTGTGTAGGATTTATAGTGAGAGAATTTTGTTTAGTTAGCTAGATAATAGCACCTTTCTTAAAATTTATAACTTTGCATAGATAACAAGCAAACATCTGTTGAATGTATGACCTAACAATGTGTAATGTTTATACTTATGTATCTAACATGTTTATACTCATGTGCCTAACAATGTGTAATGTTTATACTTATGTATAATGAATATTCATGTAGTAGCTGGAAATAAATGTAGAACAACTGTCTTCTTTGGGTGTGACAGGTGTTGGGAGTTGTTGAACCCCTCCCTGATCACCCAGCGCTGAATTTGCTTTTATCATATAATAAATTCTGATTGGAAATTGCCCGATTGGGTTTCTATTTGTCACAATTTGTGACCTTAGGCTGGTCCTAGGAGGCTGCCAAGCAGGCTTAAATATGTCCTGTTCGGTCAACCGTAAGGATTGTGGTAAACTGGGAACATTCAGGGTCACTCCGTATCCATTGACCTTGTTAATGTACTTATTTTTAGTTTATGAATCCAGCTGTTCCAAGATAGATGGGTTGAAGCTTGGATTTAGGGCAAGATGCCAAAGAGTTCACCAGTGCTTACAGAGGTTGAGGGCAGCTGATGGGGACAAATGGAGATCTCTTGAGGTCAAAACGCCAAACCTATCTGGAACTAGAACTGCAAGGAGTGTTTTAGCAATTTCAAATGGATTTTTTTTGAACTGGCACGAAAACAGAGGCACCTGGAAATTTCTCATGAAGTGGCACAAGGTGGGAATTGGGAATCTGAATAATCACAGCTCAGCTCCTTAGCAGTATGAGATGCTCACCTGTGGCAAGAAAAAATTAAGCGAATTATTTTCTTGTGTGATATGAAAATCAAGTTTGTTCTTTAGTTCTAATTGCACTGCAGCTGGGTATGGGCTGTGCTGCTCCTCGTGTGCAGTGCTTTTAACTCCTTAACTCCCTGGTGGTCCAGGAGCTTCCCAGCCAGTCACCCGTACCAGTGAGAACATGGACTGGCTGAAGTAAGGGATTGACTGATCCCCTCATATTGGACTTCAAACAGTCCTACAAATTCCCTGAGGCAGCTCCTGTTGTGTCTAGTCCAATCTGTATGTTTAAATGTGTTAGTTAACATCTTGAGTGGAGCACCCCAAGCACTTCCCTAGGTAATTTTGGTGTAGAAGTGCAGATTGTACATAGACGTTGGTAAACAGCCAGTGGAACCTGCTCTTGTACACACAGCCACACACAGCTGGCTGGATTGGACAAATTGATCAAGACAGCGGTTCAGGGAGTTTCCCAACCCAGCTGCAGATGCTGCTGCAAGCACCCTTCCAATGGAGACTCCCTGTCACCAAAGGACAGCGACCAAATCCACTCTTTGGGAGATTTGATACCCTCCATAATTCTTAATTTATGCCATGATCCAAATAAATATTTTAACAAACGCTCTGATTATATGTGCCAAATGTGTGAGCCCCCTGTTCTGTTGGGAAAGGCCACAACAGTCACCCAAAGAAAAGCTTGGAAATGATTTATGGCATTTTAAAGGCAAGGCATGAACTACACATTCCAATTGGTTATGAGGTTTTAGTTTTGGCTGGATTTCACTGTTCTCTGTACTGATAGTAACCGGTCCCTTGCCATAAGGTCTGTCCACAACAGCACTCAGACTCTTAATCTGAGCTGGAGACCTGTTCAGCCTCACTAGTAAGAATTACATGAATTTTTTGCCTCACTGAAAACATGTCCAGAGCAGGAGAAGCTTTCCTAAAACAAGTAAAAATTATGAAGGAGTTTGAATTTCAAACTCAGCTCCCTCTGGTGCTTCTACAGCTCACCTGTCACAGTCGTGGTGCTTGCCTTCTTGCTCCTCTGGGGCCCCTTCTCTGCCCAGATGTGGATGACATATTCCATGCCTGGCTTCAGATCCACTAAGGTGATCATGTTGTTGTCACTCCCCACCTCTATGTCCTTGGTGTCCCCATCAGCTGAGGTGTATCTCACCATATACCTGTCTATAGGAGCCTCCACTTTATTCCAAGAGACAGTGGCTGTATCCTCTGCCACTTGGTCGGTTGTCACATTGGTTGGGCTATCAACTCCTGAGAAAGCATTTCAAAGTGCAGGATTAGGAATCTCCAGATTAATTAAACCACTACAATACCTGTCATGGCATGTTATGGAAGAAATTCTTTACCCAGAGGGTGCTGAGGCCCTGGCACAGGTTGCCCAGAGAAGCTGTGGCTGCCCCATCCCTGGAAGAGTCCAAGGCCAGGCTGGACGGGGCTTGGAGCAGCCTGAGCTAGTGGAAGGTGTCCCTGCCCGCAGCAGGGGGTGAGATGAGATGAGCTTTAAGGTGCCTTCCAAATCAAACCATTCCATGTACACATTTCCTTAATTTTTGCCTTGCTGCTGTGGCCACCTAAAACAGAGTCACCTGGGTTTCCCACTACATCCCCGCAAGAAAGACATCCATGAGAAACCAGGGTGGGGAGAAAGCAGGTCTGTTCTACCATTTAGATGAAACTTTCCATTTTTACTGCAAGACGAGCTCGCAGGCTACTTGTCTCACCTTCCGTAGGAACCAACTCGAGGATGTCTTTCCAGCTTGCCCTCTCCCAGCTCCAAGTACAGGGCTCACCCTTCCCCTGCTCCACTGTCAGCCGTCTGCTGCTCCTCCCTTTCTGCCCACCCTGCAGACCTATCTGACTCCCTCAAGGCTTTGCTATTTTAGGTGGTGAATCAGAGTTCAGTGTAGCTCTTGAAGAAGCTGGTATTTGTCTTAGTTGCAGTTCTTAGACTCCAGGGGTTACATAAGAACATGAGCAGCATTACTCATAGTGGATTTTTTGTTTCCTTTTTAAAGAAGTTTTGCAGCCCCTATGTCTGTCAAGAACAGCTTGAAAACACAAGTCAAGGGTGTTCCAAATAATCAGAACCTACACAGGGCAGAGGAACAACCTCACAATGGCAGTGTGGAGGTTGTAGGTTCTGTTGTTTAAAATTAATTTTCTTTTAATGGACTAATCTACAAAACAACCTCAGGAAAATGTCAAGCCTGATAAGGGATTTTTCAGTCTTTGGAAGCAGCACACCTACCCTTTTGTAAGAGCTGAATTTCAGAGATTCCAGAATCTTACAGGTAGAATAGGAGTTCAAAATTCTTCAAGCTCTCTTTTGGAAAAGAATAGCTCAAAAATATTCTGCCTTTTTTTCTAAAGAGTCAATAATCCAAGAGGGTTGTTACTACACAGAGAGGCCAACTTATTACACTTACGCTGTGTCTGGATGGAGCTGTTAGTCAAATTAAGGGTGAAGCTACTGTGGGTTTAAAAACCAAGGCAAAAGATTGAGCTCAACCTAGGTTTAGTGCCCAATATACAGTGTAGGCAAGCTCAAAGAAGGTATCAGCAGACCTGGTTGCAGGTGATGCATGAAGAAGCAGCCAACTGTGCACCTTCTGTGCTGGAATCTTGACAGATCTGTCCCCAAACTCTGTAGCAAAAACAACTTTTCACGTACCAGTCCTCACAGTCACAGAGGATGGTTTCCCCTCTGTGTTGTCTTTCACTCTGTGCCAGGCTTCAGGCCTACAAACAGCAAAAAGGAGCATTAACAGCAATTAGGGAGGGCAGTATTTCTTCTTGAAGAAAGCTGGGTTTTTTAGTCTATCGAGTTCTAGATTTACAGGAGAGAGAAACTTGGAGTTTAGATTTCTATCCAACTTCCTTTTGTCTTTTGAATGTCTTGATAGGTCTAGGCTTGCCCTTAGGGTATATAGGCTACAGCTAGCGGGGATTTCCAATAATATGTGTTACCAATTCTGAGACAGAAAAATACACTTAATTCCTGACAAAGACAGAATTAAATGAATGAATGAATATGCCTTGAAACTTGCTATCCACAGAGCATAGCTTTCTCCCTGTGGAGACAGCCATCCTTATGGGTGTCATCTCACCTTCATACAAGGTGAAGGAACACTGGCCATTCACACATGAGAGAATTGTCTCAGGACTGTGGTCTGACTGTCAGTCATTCCTGTCACTTTTCCCTGCCCCTGACCAGTTTGGAATACCCACACATACTTACCAGTCAGGACGTATCTGCTCTTAGGGTCATTGCTTTTGGGCATCATGACCTGCTTCTCATCCATCTCCACTAGGGATCTGAATTTTAGCTTGTAATAATCCACATCTGTTGGTGGGTTCTCCCACTCCACTTCCAGTGAGTGCTCCATCTCCTCTGTCACCCAGATGGCACTGAGTGCAGACAGGACTGAGAAGAACAGCAGAAAGCCACAAGGAAGCAGCATCGGGCAAATAGTAAAAAGGTAAATATAAGATAGCAAGTCCTCCTCCCTGCCCAGTCTGCCTTCTGAGACCTGAGACATTTTCCTGAGCCACACTGAAGAGTTAAGCAAGTACAGCACAATCACTATTTGACCAGGTTTAGTTTTATCCATGGTAACACTCCAATTCTAGAGTTTTCTGGCTCTCAGCTCCCACCTGTTGTGCTAGAAGCAAGAAAAATGTCAAAATCACCAAACTCTTCACTGTTTTTGCCAAGTGCAAGCAGACAGCATAACATATTAACAGCTGCTAACCAAATGGTATTTCAGTTCTTGAGAGACTGCTTCAAATACAGAGTCTTTCCACACAATCTCCTAAGTTCAGCAGGATCAGGCTCATTCAGTGCTGGGAAGAGACTAGGAGAACTTGCTGCTGCAAACATGTTTGGAGAACTAGAAGCTAGGACTGACATCCTGCCTACCTTGTAGTGTCTTCTGCATCCAGTTGAACAGTGCATTATTCTTAATAACATGCTTGAAAACGACGACAGAAAACTGTAGGCTTGGGAAGAGAAAGTGCTCTCCAGCACTCAGTTTGCTCCAGTTGTTGGAATCTAACTTTAAAGATCTACAACATCTGACTGATGAAAAATACTGCCTCCTCCTACCTGTACTTGCTTCTAGATCCTTGGGCTCACTGGCAATCCCCTTCTTCAAGTCACAAAGTGTGACACTGTAGGTGGTGCCAGGGCGGAGTCCCATAATCTTGTAGCTGAGCTGCTCTTTGGGAACGTGGATTTGTTTCACCAACATCTCATATCTAGCTGGATAATAGGTAAGGACGTAATTATCCACATCAGCCATTGGATCCCAGCTGAGAGCCAGAGAGCTCTCAGTGGAGTTCAGCAGCTGCAGGTTCTGGGGAGCAAGCACTAGAAGAGAAACAAAGGAAACATTGCAATGAGGATGATGTCTTGTCACATGGCCAAGCACGAAATTTTTTCAGACCTATTTTGAATATGAAAATGCAGAAGTGGAGCTCCCAGTCTTTAGTCATCTTGGATATATCCATATCTTTCTGCTCAACAGCACACCATTAAATACAAATGAATACTGCAGTAACAAATACAGTAATTTTGTAGGCGACTCTTTACAGCTTCTAAACTCACATTTGACACAAGAAAAACTGTCTCATAAAGCTGTCCCTTCCAATGCATCTAGGAAGAGAAAGACAAGCCAAAACCCTCTTTTCCTATCACTGTCAGCCATTTCAAAATGTCAGCCGGTCCCAAAAACTGAGGAACACAGCTTCTCCATGGCAGAGGCAGAAAACTGAACTTTTCTGACTGAGTACTGATGGAAGCTTATACTTGGTGCCTGGAGGAGACCTGGGCAGACCTGCTGTCTACAATATATTTCAGAACACCAACAGTGCCTTAACTGTTTTGCCACAAGACAGACAGCTCATCACTGTCTTGAAGCAGCCCTTGAAAGCAGTCAACGTAGAGCATCTGTTTACCCTCAAGTTTACATGATTTTAATTACAAGTGAGCACATCTAAGCTGATCAAACCATCTACAGCTGTATTTCATTAGCAAGGCACTAAGTGATAGTGAAAAATAGATAGTAAGCACCTGTAAAAAGGCATGTGTCAGCAACATGAGGTCAGATAACATCAGGAGATTCTTCTCACTTGAAAGGCAGCATTCATTCCGACGTGGCATTCACAGCTTTCACCAAACACTCCCTCACTTATGTGCATGCCATTGCTTTTATTGAAAAATTTGTACAAAACATGAGACTGTTCATCCTGTCTCTTCTTCTGATATAGAAGCTGGATTTGAATAATCCAGCTTTGCAGTAAAATAATAAAGAACCTAAATACACATGGTGTGGTTTATTCCTTGTCTAAGCATAGTTGGGAAGAGGATTGTATCTTCCTCTCTGCTATTCAACATGTCCTTGTCCTCTATTTCTCCTTCAGAAGGAACTGTAAGGCATTAATTATACTGTTACATGCTTGATAGCAACTTCTAAATGCTCAGACATTCCAGTTACCATGGTAATACATAACAAAATATGTCATTTCATGATCTGAGACACACAAAAATAGGATACAATAATAATGATGATATCTAAATAAAAACAGTGCTTAGTGTAAGTATCCCAGGATGCAGAAATCTAACCCAGACTAGAACAAGACAAGCAGTTTGACATCCCTGCAAGAGGAGCACTTGGCTACAGCTGCTGAGGTGGGAACCATTTGCCTTTAGGACTGGGAGTTTTTAAGCAGGACTGGAGGTGTAGCGCTCAGAAACAGTAACAAAATGGGTTGTGCTATATGCATTAACTCCTTGCTCACTCAGAACAGAGAACACTATCTCAGCCTGTAAAACAGCTGCAGGTCTCCTGTGAGGAAGAGGGTGCAAGGCTGGACTCAGCCAGCCCTTTGGGAGAGGCTGACTGGGTGACAGCTCTCTGGTAGAACTGTTTTTCCTCTGGGAGAAACCCTTCTGCTTGCCACCTCTTGCCAGTAAAGGTGCTGCTCCCTGAGTAGCAAATCTCAGTCTACTGACAGGGGAAAAGAGTGCTGGAGCCACAGGGAAACGCTTCTGGACAGTGTGGAAGGGGCAGGAGGAGTGAAGTTTTGATACAGAGCTCTGTTTTGAGTGAAGAATTTGAGCTAATAATCTTTTACTTAAAAGGTGAGTCTCTAAACAGATAGATCGAGGATGATCCAGAGCAGAACAAAGCTGTGAGTCAGGTCACTGCAAACCCTTACTGAGCAACACCTGCTGCTAAGTGTGTGGCTGTTACCTACTTCTCCTTCATAAAGAGCTGAGAAAGATTAGAATCAAGCAGTGATGTTCTGAGGAAAGGCACTTCCAGGGTAAGAGGCTGTGTGCTGAAGCCTGGAGTACCAATCTGTGGTTGTAGGGAGGCTGTAAGTTTTGCAGAATGAAGCAGAAACTGCTGGACACACCCCTCAAGGTCAGCTCGGTCAGGTCTTAGGCAAATCCTACTGCCTTGTAACAAAGCAGGACGAGGGAGAATTTCCCAATGACCTCACTTCAAAGGATTTACGTGTCCTTTGTCTCACAGTTTTTATTAAATCAACTACCTCATCGGCAAGCATGATTTTATACTGTCTCATTTGCACGTCAAGAAACAGACTGTCTCCCTCTAATTACAGGCTCTATGCCCATTTTGCTCTCTCCTTCAGCTGCTGCACACAGGCTGCTGCTAGTGCAACCTTTAGTTGCATTTCCACCTTTTCCCATTTCAGCAATGCTTTCGAGGCAATTTTTGAAGACAAGGGCCAGTCAGGCAGCAGAAACTCCAGGAACACAGTGACCCTCAGGGTTGGTTTACCTACAGGATGAACAAAAAGTGTATGGGATCTGGAGAGGGAAACTCAAACTGCTAGAAAGAAGGGAGAAATAACTCACAGGCAGGTCTTACCCTGGGAGCAGTCGAGGCCAAACAAGCCATCGTGGCAGCAGCACTCTCCTGTTTCACAGAACCCATTGCCACTGCAGTCCCCAGGACATCCTTTGTCGGCACAGTCCTCGCTCGTGAACTCCTCATGGCACTGCCACACCCCTGTGGCCGTGTCACAGGTCCCGTGGCCGCTGCAGTTCTCTGGGTAGAGCCGAAGGCTGCAGTCCTCCCCAAAGAAAGGCTCGTCACAGACACATGTCCCGCTGTCCCAGGCCCGTGGCCGCTGCAGCGGCCGGGGCAGGTGGGGTGGGAGCAGTCGCTGCCCTGCCAGCCCTAGGCACACTCATGGCCGCAGGTCTGTCGAGAACAGTCCCACGGCCGCTGCAGGGAGGGACGCCTGGCCACGGCAGCAACAGGAGGCACAACGGCAAGGGTGACACACAGAGGAAAGGAAACAAAAATAAAGCGAAAGGAAAAATGAGGAACATGGCAATAGACCGGTCGTGCAAAAGTGTGTTTGAGATCATTAAAGGGGAAAGCATAACAGTCACTGGAAAATAGGGACTAAAAGAGACCCGATGGCATCACCTTGTCCATCTGCCCCAGCTCCACCACTGCCTTTCCCAACACATGTTTCTGTGGTCAGCAGGAATGCAGGTTCCATGACCATCCCAGAGTCAATTAGAAAGCTTTACACCTCTAACCTGAATCTTCCTGTTGTAATTTAAGCTCACCATTTCTCACCACAGTCACTATTAAGAGGGAGAGCACGGTTTTCCCACCTGTATTTTTCATGTGACCAAAGACTTGGCACTTTCCCCATCTCCATTCCACAAAAACCACCAGTTTGTTAAATCTTTTCTTAGAGGCCATGCAGCATAGAACTGTGATCCCAGGCAGTGGCCACTGCAATCATCATCATTCTATAAACTCTGCTCTTCTGTTAGTCACTTAGCAAAGAGGAAAGAAAAAGACAAATTCTCAACAATGGCTGAATTCTGGAGGCAAAATTGAGAAAGAAAAAGACAGCAACAAGAAGTGCCTCCCTCATCTTTCACCCTCCTGTTCACCAGAAAATCCTCTATTGAATCCTCCCACCTACGTGAAACTCAGGAACGTGTTCCCTCCCACTTCTGAAGGATAGTTGGGGAGATTTCCCCTGTGCTGGTTCCAGAAATGTTATTGTAGTACCACATTTTGGGAACTTCAGATTTCTTCTCACATCACAGAAGCCAGGGCACCATCCCAAGTGAAGGACTCAAGTATTTTGCTCATGGAGAACTCCCCATATCATTGACAAATGATTCAAGTCCCCAGATCTTGGCAGTGAATAGGCTGTGCCTGGGAAGTAAGAATGGATACCAGAATTTTTACTTACCTTGGCTTCCCCCACAGCACTTCTGAGGGCTGCAAACTTCCCTCAGCTCTGCCACTTCCTTCTCAAACTTCTCCATCCTTTCCAACAGATCCTTAATGTGGGTCAAAGTTTTACAGTTCCCTTTGGGTGTGTGCACATAGATGTTGTGCCTAAAAATTATATTCTGCTCTTCATTTTCCTCAGCCTCTCCAGGATCCAGCTGCACCCCACTGCTGTCTTCATCATGCTGTAAGGGATCTGCTTCCACCTTAATCTGGGAGGACGTGGGTAGGTCAATCTTACAGGAGTGGCTGAAGGGTGTTCTCTGAGCATCACTGGAGCAGTTGTGAGATGCGAGATGCTGACCAGCAGATGTCTGAAGAGCACAGCACAGCAATAACCCCACTGGGAAGGCAAGCCGGCTCTGGAAATCCATCTGGCACATTTTCAGGGGAAGTGCCGACCCTTCAAACAGCACAGCTGCTTTCGGGATCAAAAAAAAAAAAAATATAAGAAGTGTGATCCTAAAGCTGGTTTTCGTGATTTTCTAAATGACAAATTATCTGTTTTGCCCTGATTCAGAACTAGGTTGGCAAGTACCTGGGAAAGAGTCACACTGGATGAGTTAAAGAGCTTCCAGACCCTCCAACTAGGAGCTCTAAGTTTGCGACCTTCAGTCTCCAGCACCTTGCATAGTGTTCACCTCAAAGTCTGATAACTGTGCTGATGCTGTGCACATGAAGAATTCAGAGAGCTGGCACTGATCTTTTGGTACAGGAAGTTTGGGAAGTAGTTTTACCCACTTTACATTACTCTTCTAACATAGCACATGGCCCACACTGTTATTTGGATTTGGGAGAATTAAAAAATTCCCTCCATTTGACACCAATACGCTGGCATTTTGTGTGCCCAAACACTAGATTCAGTTGAGGGATTTCAAGTTTATTTTTCTTTGACTCATTTATCTGATTTATCATCTTAGCATTGGGAAAGGTTCATTTAGAAGCTACTAGAGCACATCTGTTAACACATGGAGTAAGATGGGCTGCAAACCTATTTGTTTTCCTGTGTTTTTATTTCAGACAGAATAGTTCTTTCCTACCCTCCATAAATATATAGGCAGAGCTTGTTTTCAGGCTGAGTAAGGCTCAAAACTAAGACTTAAAAATACACAAAATATTACTGTTAAACTTCATTGACATTTAGAGGTCAAAACTGAACTTCAAGTGTTTAAAGCCTTTGGGTCTAATCTTTGACAGAAACAAAACTGTTTTCTGTAAAAGTTTTGTGCTGTCAACCAAGCTAGAATTTTGGACTAAATGAACACCTCATAGAAAAGAATAACAGGAAGGAAGAAGCTGAACAAGCAGGGGTGGAAGGATAAAATATAAAGTTAGAAACCTAAACTCATCAGTTGGTTTATTCAACGTTACACACTAAGTGTTGGCATTAATGGTAGATGCCAATCTGTACAGGAGATGATATTCACTTGGTTAAAAATTTAGAACTTCATACCATAGGATCCAAATGCAAAATGCCACCATATGTGACTTACTAAGCAGTCATATTATTCATTGCACAAGTGGAAGAAAAATATTATTTAAGTGCTAAATTAGGTAATGTGATAACTAGAAAGCATTTGGCCAATATGCATCCACAGTAACAGCACATCTGAACTCAGATAACAGTGCTGCTCTGATATATATATATATATAATATATAATAATAATTTATAATCACATTTCTGAGAGTCATGCAATCCTGAGTGATGATGAAAATGAACTGTTTTCAGTAATAAACATCCTTATCTATCCTAAATATCTGCAAAACCTCGGGAAATATCCCTACCATTAGATTCCTACCTCCCATTGGCAGCACAGCTATAGGAAGGTATCCTTCCTGCTCAGAAACACTATGCTTTGGTTTCTAAAAACAAAACAAAGCCCCACCACCATTGAAAATACATATTACACCTGACTACACGTGTTTTGCAGCCCACCCTAGTGCATCTCTTCAAGCAAAATCATCACTGACACCAATCAAAATAGGGTATGGATTTCAAGATTCAGTCTACAATTCCTTATCTTATAGCCTTACATGATATTAGGAAAAATTTCTTTACTGAAAAGGCAGTCAGGCACTGACACAGGCTACCCATGGCAGTGGTGCAATCACCATCCCGGGATGGATTTAAAAGACGTGTAGATGTGGCTCTCGGACATGGTTTAGTGATGGGCTTGGCAGTGCTGAGCTAATGGCTGGACTTGAGCTTAGAGGGCTTTTCCAACCTTATAAATTCTAGATGAAGTTCCCAAACAGACAGACACATGCACAAAATCCCTTTACTCAGTACCAAGCGATTAATGACATTCTGGGTTGTACCATGATGTCATGACTAATTAGGGGTTCATGAAAACCACAAACTGATCTTGGATTTTCCTGGGCTTAGAGATCACTCAGGAGGAAAAACCTCTAAACATAAGCATTTCTGTCAAGCATAATAAAAGAGAACAGCTTCTTTTGGCTTCCTCATCATGCAGTAAAGAGATTTTTCCCTGCTGTGGGTTTAACTGACTCTTTGTAGAGAATATCATGTCATACATATAACTGGCAATAACAGCAGATTAGGGAAAGGAATAATTTAGGAAAGAGTGCCTAACAGTCAGATCTAGCAGGCACAGAATATCATCCTAAGGGAAGGGATGGAAGAAGCCTTGCTCATATCTTTCCAGCCTTTGCAGAGGAAAGCACGGGATGATCAAAAGTGGAGACAACCTGCAGTATTTGTGTGAAAGATTCCAATAATCCAGTTCTGCATGTCTTCCATCCTACAGCTCAGTGCCTGAAGGTTTGGGGGATAGGTCTTCTGTGTGTCTAGGTAACATGGAGATGGGACTGAGAACAGAAAGGGGGACTGTAGTCACAGGATACATGCTTTTCTCAGTGACGCATTCAGCTGAGACAAACTACTAATTTTACAGACTCTCCATAAGTATAATTTAGTTTAACCAAATGGATTATTTGCCTTTTTTTGCTATGGTGAAACTACTCTGCTGTCCAAACCTCAGCTGCTTTAGAAAGCTCTGCATCAGATTTTTTTTCTGGGATTGGTCAAAGAAGCCATTCCATGGAGCTGCTGTAATAAGCCGGCCAGCATTCTGTTTTCAATATTATGCAATCTTAATTAAATTAATGATTGCAATGAATGCTATCAATGACTGCCAACAAAAAAACACCACACCATTTATTTAGCAGAGTTGTTTCTTTTGTCTACCTTTTTTTTACTTCCAGACTGTATGAGCCTTATCTATCACTACAGAAGTTTGGGATTATTTGAAATGGTTAATAGAAAAACAGAATTATAATCAGCCAGGGAGGTACTGTGGTTCTAGATTCATCCTTATATTTACCTCTTCTTTCATGCCAATTCTTCTTCAACATCTGATAAGCAAGATGTATTGACTACTCATACATGACTGAGAGATTGCTTCCAAAATCCTACATATTCATGTGCAGAGAGGTTTAACACTCTTTGCATATTTCCTCCTTAGTATAAATATGCATTTTGTTACAAAAGACTCAGCTTCCTTCTGTTACATCAGTAACTTCCAGTTTAACTCAGTCCCCTACTCAGTATCAGTCTTGCATACCAACAGGAAGAACCATTTCCTATTTGTTTTATGCTCTGCTACTAGTCAAAAGCCAGAAAGCCTCTCCAGTCTGGAAAATCTGGCTGAAAACATCCCGGGAATATTACTGAGACTCCGATACTGACAAGCACATTTGTAGTATGATGAGAAATTCAGGTGGAGTAAATCAGAAAGTAAAAAGAAAACACTTTTTAAACTCAGCAGTAGTTAAACACAACTGTAGCATTAAACCTGCATTATATGGGAAAACTGTGGTTTAAACAGGTTTTAAAATGGCTTTTGGTGGTGTCTTTGCAAACACATGCTTCTTCTTCCCACAACCCCCTTTGTTATCCATGCAGGAATGTCCTGGGAAGGGGTCCTGAGGTGTTTCCCATTTGGCCTTTGTTAAGCCCTTCCTGTGATTGGGTGTTCCTGTAAGCCCCTTGAGACTTCTAATTGGTTACTCTGTGAATCCTCCTAAACCCTATAAATGTAACATCCCCCACAATAAACTCTCTCTTGCCTCCTCTCCACACCCGGTGTCCTGTGACCTGTCTCCGTGCCGGCCATGGGGCCACGTGCGGGGGGGGGGGGGGAGGGGG